GTTTGTTTGTTTGTTTGTTTGTTTGTTTGTTTGTTTGTTTGTTTGTTTGTTTGTTTGTTTCTGTCTCCGTCTCTTTTATTTAATTTATTTAATTATTTTTGTCTATTACTCTGTTTATTTGTCTCTTTATGTCTCTCATTTATTATATTTATTTATTTTCTTCTTCTCTCTCTTCTTCATTTATTTATTTATTTATTTATTTAACTATTTGTTTGTTTGTTTGTTTGTTTATTATCTTTTAAATATGTTTCTTCAGTTGTCTCTTTATTTGTCTGTCTCTGTCTCTCTTATTTTATTTTATTTATTTATTTATTTATTTATTTATGTCTCTTTAATTTATTATTTATGTCTATTTAATTATTTATTTATTTCTATCTCTTTTTTAATCTATTTACGTCTCCTTCACTAATATAATTTATTTATTTATTTATGTCTATCTTATTTATCTTATTATATTTATTTATTTAAGTTTATTTATTCATGTCTCTTGTTAATTTATTTATTTATTTATTTATTTATTTATCCCTTTAAACAAATTAAGTTAATCGCCGTGCTGTGCGATATAATAATTTTGTTAGTTTTGTTTGCATGTCTTTCAGATATTTATTTATTTTTGTTTGTCTTTGTTTAATTCTTTTTTCTTTTGTCTCCTTTAGCTGCTGTCTGCTGTCTCCGCTTCTGCGTCTCTCCTTTTGCTGCTCTTTGCTGCTGCTGCTTCTTCTTTGTTGGGTTTACTCCTCGGCCTCTTCGTCCCTTCCCAGCTGCTGCTGCTGCTGCTGCAGCAGAAGAAGCAGCTGCAGCAGCACGTTTAACAGCCAGCTGCCCCAAAGGCACATCTTCTTCGCTGCTGCTCGCGTCTGTCTCTTCTGCTGCTGCTTCCTTTGTCTCTTCTTCTGTTGCTGCTGTTGCTGCTCCTGCTGGATTCGCCTCCGCTGCTGCTTCTTTTGCTGCTGCTGCTGCTGCTTCACCCGCAGCAGCACTAGCAGCAGCTGCTGCTATTTGTTCAGGAGAGCCTGTCTCCTCCTGTGAAGCATCTGCCCCTCCTGAGCAGCTGCCGTCCTCAGCGTCCTCTTGCTGCTGCTGCTGCTGCTGCTCTTGCTGCTGCTGCTCCTCCTCCTCGTGCTGCTGCTGGGTAGGAGCAGCCTCGGTGCTGGCTGCAGCTTCACTTCCTTTGTGCTGCTGCTGGGAAGGCTTTTCAGTGTCTTCGCATGCTGCTGTTGCTTCTGCCGTTGCTGCTGCATCTGCTGCTGCATCTTCTGCTGCTGCTGCTGCAGGGGAGCTTGGTTGGTGAGGCGTTCCGCTCGTTGATTTTGCTGCTGCTGCTGCAGCTGTCTCTATTTCTGCTGCGTTTTGCTGCTGCTGCTCTTCTTGCTGCTGCGTCTTGCGATGTTGCTGTTCTAAGCCTTCGCTCTCTTCCTGCTGCTGCTCTTGTTCCTGCTGCTCAGTCTGCTGCTGCTGCTGCTCTTGCTGCTGCTGCTGCTGCTCAGCGTCAGTGCTGCCTGCTGAAGTGTCTCCATCTGCGTCGTTCTTTTTCAGCCGTCTCCTTTTTGTGTTGCTGCTGCTCTCCTTCAATTTTCTCTTCCCTTTCTTCTTGCTGCTGCCCTTGCTGCTGCTGCTGCTGCTGCTGCGTGTTGCTGCCTCTGCACTCTCAGCATCGCTACCGCCGCCGGCCTTTTCTTGCTCATCACTGCTGTCATCTCCCGCCTTCTGCTCTTGCTGCTGCTGCTCCTCTTGCTGCTGCTGCTGCTGCTCCTCTTGCTGCTGCTGCTGCTGCTCCTCCTCCTCCTCCTCTTGCTGCTGCTGCGCTTGCTGCTGCTGCGGCTCCTGCTGCTGCTCTTGCTGCTGCTGCTGTTCTTCCTGATCCTCTTGGGGCTGCTGCTCTTGCTGCTGCTTTGCTGCTGTTGCAGCAGCTGCTGGCTGTGGGGGTTTGTGCTCGGCTACAGAATCCATATCAGCATCAGCTGCTGCTGCTACTGCTTCTCCTGCTGCTTCTCCTGCTGCTGCGTTTGCATCACCCGCAGCAGAGCCTGCAGCAGCTGAGGTGTCTCTGGCGTCGTCGAGCTGCTGTTGCTTCTGCTGCTCTTGCTGTTGCTGCTGCTGCTGCTGCAGCAGCAGCTTATCTAGCTGCTTCCTCAGCCTGTGCTGCTCTTTCTGGTGCTCTTCGATTTGCTGCTGCGCATCTTGGAGCTGCTGCAGCAGTTTCTTTTTGTCTGAAGCAGCAGCAGCAGCTGCTGCTGCTGCTGCTGCCTCTTGCTGCTGCAGCTGGGCAGCAAGAGATGTCTTATCTGTCTTTGCTTCTTCTGCTGCTTCTTGAGCCTTCGCACTTGCACGAGAGAGAAGCACCTGCTGCCGACGCAGCTGCTGCAGTTCTTGATTCGTCCTGCGCATACACCCCAAACCCTAAACCCTAAACCCTAAACCCTAAACCCTTTTTTATGCCCTCTAAAGATGAGGCCAAAAGAAAGAAGAGAATGCAAAAAGGAGATCAGCGAAATTACAGCTTGCTTAACGCCAAGAGGGTTTAGGCTTAAGGGTTTAGGGTTTGCGGTTTAGGGTTTAGGGTTTAGGGTTTAGGACGTACTTTGTTCTTTCTGCTTCGAGTTCGTCGTTCTTTGCTTTGAGGTCGTCAATGCATGCATTCAGAGACCCCACTTGCTCCTGCAGCAACAGAAAAGAGATAAAAGACGCTGCTGCTGCTGCTGCTACTGCTGCTGCTGCTGCTGCTGCATTTACAACAGCAAACCGCGTGGCAGCACGGGCTGTAGCTGCTGCACCTGCTGCTGCTACCGTTCCTACTACTGCTGCTGTTGCTACACTACTGCTGCTGCAGTTGCTGCTCCAGGTGCAACAGCTGCTGCTGCTGCTGCTGCTGCTGCTGCAGTTGGGGTGTAGCTGCAGCTTCTTACTGCATGCGATGCCTCAATTTGTCTCCTTTGAGTCATAAACTTCTGAGACAGAGAATCTGTCTCTGTCTTTGCCCTTCGTAAGTCTAAAGACTGCGGAGCAAAATATAATAAACAAATTAAATAAATAAATTAATTAAATATAATTAATTGTACATAAAATAAATAAATAAATAGACAGATAAAATATATAAATTTAATAATAAACAAAGTAAATACGCAAATAGCAAACAGATAAATAAACAAATAAATAAATAATATAAATAAATACATAAATAAATATATAAATATATAAATATATAAATATATAAATATATAAATATATAAATTAGCAATAAAGACGAAGACAAACAAAGAAAAGAAAGAAGCAAAGAAACTGTGAGGAGACAGCCAAAAAACAAACAAACACCCTAAACCCTAAACCCTAAACCCTAAAACCCTAAAACGTACAAGTTGCTGCACATGCCGCTGCAAACCCTGCAGCTGCAGCTGCAGCTGCCTCTCCGAATCACTAGACTTCTGCTGCACGTCCTGCGACCGCAAACCCTAAACCCTAAACCCTAAACCCTAACCCGCAAAACCCTAAACCCTAAACCCTAACCCGCAGATCCCTAAACCCTAAACCCTAACCCGCAGATCCCTAAACCCCAAACCCTAAACCCAAAACAGCCCTTGAACCCTGAGCGTCACACAAACCCTAAACCCTAAAACCCTAAAACCCTAAACCCTAAACCCTAATGCTTTGTCGGTTGTTTGTCTTGCCTGTAGCAGCAGATCTTTCTGTAGGATTTGTTCATGCAGCAGCTTCACTTGCTGCTTTAGGGTTTGTTCAAACTGGTTGCTGCTATCTGCTGCTGCTGTCTCCTCCTGCATCAATCAGAAAGGAGACAAGAGACAAGGGCTTTCTCCGCTGCTGCTGCTACTGCTGCTGCTGCTGCTGCTGCTCTATCAACTAAAACCCTTTAAGCAATCCCTCGCCCCACAGGTATGCAACGAACGTACACAGCTACTGCTCTTGCTGCTGCTGCTGCAGCTGCAGCAGCAGCAGCAGGAGCAGTAGCAGCAGCAATAAACAGGCAGCAGCAGCCACAAGAACAGCAGCAGCAACAGCAGCAGCAACGTACAGGTCCTGTCCCTGCAGCAGCCGCATCCCTGTGTGTGTCCTCAATAGAAGAATGTCTCGATAGCTGCTGCTGCTGCTGCTGCTGCTGCTTCTGCTGCTGCTGCTGCAGGTGCAGCAGCTGAAGCGGAGGCCCTTCTTCGGTAGGGGGGAGGTCTCCTACTCTGCCAGACCCCATAAGCTGAAGAGTTTGCTGCTGCTTCTGCTGCAGCTTCGTTGCAGCAGCAGTTTGCTTCTTAATGAACCAATGACAAAGAAAACATAAAAAATTACTCGCGAACCCTGCAGCAGGACGCGAGTGCGGGAAGGCCCCGTTGCACCCGCAGCGGCTGCAACGCTTAGGAAGCCCATGCCTGCAGCAGCAGCAGTAGCAGCAGCAGCAGCAGCAAATAGACCAGCAGCAGCAGCAGCACAGAACGCAGCAGCAACAGAACACGCAGCAGCAACATCAATACACGAATCATCATACAAATTATCAACGCCAGATACACCGCCCAACGTACACTGCTGCTGCTGCTGCTGCTGCTGCTGCTGCTGCTGCTGTTGCTGTTGCTGTTGCTGCTGTTGCTGCTGTCGCTTTAACAGGGTTCAGGCAGAAACAGCGCCCCCCACACTTTCGCCTAAACCCTAAACCCTAAACCCTAAACCCTTAAACGCTAAACCCTAAACCCTAAACCCTTAAACCTAAACCCTATGCTCTAGAGCCTAATCCTTAAACCCTAATCTCTCATCCATAAACCCTTCTCGTTACCCAGCAATGCGGAACCTAAACCCTAAACCCTAGCCAGACCCTAAACCCCAAACCCCCTAAACCCTAGCCAGACCCTAAACCCTAAACCCTTTTCTCTAACTAGCGATGCGGAATCCTAAACTCTAAACCCTAGCTAAACCCTAAACCCTAAACCCTTTGGTTTACCTGGCGATGCGGGATCCTAAACCCAAAACCCTAGCTAAACCCTAAACCCTAAACCCTAAACCCTAAACCCTAAACCCTAAACCCTGATTTACCTGGCGATGCGGGATCTGCAGCGCTGGCACTCGTTTGCTTCGCTCCAGGCAGACCAACAGCGACAGTAGCGACAGCTGAGCGAAAAGTAAAAACATTTTAATAATATTTAATCACAATTATAATAATAATAATTCATTATTAAAATAATATATTATAATTAAATAAAAGCGAGGTGTTTATCATTGTTAATCGTCAAAAGAAACAAACAACAACAAACATCAGCAGCAAAAATAATAATTAATTATTATTATTATTACAGCAGTATTAATAACAATAATAGTTTAGGATATTATTATTTATTATTTATTATTTATTATTAATAATTATTATTTATTACTATTATTGATACTATTTATTATTATTATTAATTATTCATTATTATATAATTATAATTATTATTATTTATTAATATTACTAATTATTTATTATTAATTGTTTAATTATTATTATTATTATTTATTAATATTATTAATTATTTATTATTAATTGTTTAATTATTATTATTAT